GCTTGGCCTATAGTAGATGATATAACTAAGTTAGATATAATAATAATAATTTAGATAAGATCATAAGAATCTGTATAAAAAAACACTTACCTGCTGGCAAATAATTCATCAGAGATCTAGTAGACCTAGTCCGCTTAGCCTGCTAGTAAAGTTGCATTGTAAACACGCGTACTTGTAAGTTGTAACGTTATTATTAGGCAAAAACATACGATTGTTAACAACCGGTTCGTGGAGGTCATTAAATTCTAAGAATAGGTTCGCACGAACCGGCTGAATCCCACCACTGCCCTGAACTAACCAACTTGAAATATTTGGAACTAGTTTCGATATCAACAACAACAACATAAGCGTTACCGGCGGGCCGGTAGATGGTTACGCCCTCTCGTCAGCCAAGGAACGAAAAAAGAAAAATGGGTAAAATGAATAATAAATAGGTAAGCGTGCAAGTCAGCACAGGAGATGGAAAATGGGGAAAATGCGGTATTTGCAGATGGAGGAGACAATCCGGAGAAATATGGGTGAACACTAACCAGTCTGTATCATATAATGGAGATTGTGTGGGAACTGGCAACAGGTATATCGAGTATTATGAATCCGGATAGATAAATGGGAAGAAGAGGGCATCTCGACGTGGTCGGGATTGTCAGCTGGGAGGAACATGACATAGAGGTTAAGTAGGTGATCAGCTGGTGCAAAAATGCTTCTTGGAGTGGGTTCAGTGGTGGCGAGAACATCGGAGAAGATGAGATTGTGGTCACGAAAACATTTATTAACATAGCGAGTGCGAAGCTGTCGAAAGTGTAATAGAATGTGAGGAAAGTTGATATGGCGATAAAGGTCGGAAGTGAGATTAGGGTGTTTGTCGCCAAAGGCGAGCCGGAGGGCATGGCGCTCCAAAACCTGGAAACGAGAGTAGAAGGTCAGAGAAGCCGATAGCCATTTGTATATTTGTGTTCATGCATTCTGGGTTGCCTCAAGTTATTGAGCGCCCAATTATGTCTGATCAACCGGGTCAATCGTCTCGTCGTGTTTGTCCAAAACCTTATTCCCGACCCATGGAGGGTGTAACTTGGAAGCCTGCAACCCTTGGTGTTCCTCCTTCCTGAGTTGACTGCTTAGATTCAGATAGCTCTTCAATTACTACTAATGTTCCACGACGGTCATATGCTGCCGTTGTCTCATCATCGTCCTCTGGTTCAACTACCTCTACTGTTTCTCATCCATCTACTGCTGGTTCTACTTTGTCTACCGTTCCTGCCTCCTCTCGATCTGCCTATAATGGTGAAGCGCTCGGACCTATGGAAGCTACTGAAGCTTCTCAGATTACTGTGCTCCTACTTTCGGGCATGGATCCCCAATATTTCTCTACCAGGACCCTCTTTCTCGAACTTTCTAACTACTGCCTTTGTTCTGACGTTCATCAACTAATTCCAACGAGAAACAGCAAAATTGTAAAAACTGGTAATCCCCAATTGTGTGATATACTGCATACCAAAAATGAGCCTGCTTAATCTGGGTCAATCTACCATGCTCACTCAACTTTGCTCCCCTGCTCTAAAACAACAACCTCCTCCTCATCGTACACCTAATTTCTCTGGTGTCATCCGTGGTGTGGATCCAGGCATTACTGAAAAAGAGATTCTCTCCGAACTTCTACTTGAAAACATATCAGTCAACCTTACCATTTGTATTCAAAGTTCTTCTGGTCCTACCTTCATGATTTGTGTTTTGGCTGAGAATAGTGTCACTGTAGATCATCTCCTATTTAATGGAGCATTTCTTTTCCGTCAATGCCATTGGGTTGAAGCTTCCTGTTCCCCAGACCCCCAGGCTCTGCGCTGTAAGAGGTGCCTACTATACAACCCACATGCAACTGCTAAATGCCCTAACCAACCAGTTTGTTCTCATTATCATGGACCTCATCTCCTTTGCCAATGCTCTCGCTTTAGCTCTCCTCCCCTTTGCAACACTTGCCATCTTGATCATCCTACATACTCCTCAAAGTGCCAGGGTAAGTCTACCCCCAAGACTGATGATCCTGCTTCTGTTGCTCCAGTGCATACCACCAATACCATTACTCCTCCAAACAATTCTATTACTATGTCTCCTACCATGGAGGATATCATCTGTTTTGTCACATTGATACAACAAAATGTCCTCCCCTTCCAACGTACGTTCGTTCTAGATCATATTACCCATGCTGCCAAGACTGTCTTTTGCCTTCACATGCAGACCACTTATTCTAGACTTAACTCTCACTTCCTATTTCGTCGTCTATGAGATCCGGCAGAGACTACAAGTTGAAGTATTTATTTTTCAATATTTGCTCTCTTGTTCATAACCTCTCCCTTCTGAAGATCTTGTTGGATAGAGGCTCCTATGATTGTGTTCTCCTTAATGATACTTTTCTGAAACCCACTCAAAGGATCCATCTGTCAGGGTACACTCTTCATTGCTATGATCATCCTTTGGGAGGGGCCTGAGGAGGTGTGGCAATTGCTACTCATACTCGCCTTCCCATGCACCTACATTCCCTTCCTCAGTCCACTTACCCTGAGCATTTGGTAGCCACTGTTTACTTCCCATTTCGTATCATCACTATTGCAACAATCTACATTTGTCTTGGAGTTCCCTTGCCCAACGCCTTTCTCTGCTTTCTGGACCACTCTTTTTGCAGCTGTATTCTTCTTGCTGATGTCAACTACCACAGTAGGACCTCTGCCAAACTTGCCCATTTTCAATCCTCCTTATGTTCCCTTTCTGGTTCTTTGCTACCCCTGCCAGCCCTAGTCGTCTAATTTCTCATTTGTCACCCGATATTGTCTTTGTTTCTTCTGACCTGGTTCGTTTTATCACTCTCCAGATGTTTCCTCCCGTTGGTAGTGATCATCTCTCCATAGAACTTTGTGTCCATTCACAGTCCTTGTCTGTTCCTCGTGTTTCCCGTCGGACTCATTTAAATTTTCGTTCTGCCAACTGGAAATCTTATGCTTCACACATTACTAATGCCATACCAGATATCAATCAACCTCTTACTACAGCAGAAGATGTTGACTCATTCGCCACTTTACTCCCCACTCTTCTCTCTGATGCAGGGTGCTTTACACATACAGACTTCTTCTTCAGCTCCCCATAAACCAGCCTTACCTCCTAGAGCAGTAGATCTGTTACATCACTCTTTCATTTTATTGCATGAATACCACTGGTCTCATGATCCTTTGTTGCTGCAACGATCTCAGGGTCTTCAATGTACTGCACATAATTTTGTTCAGGCAGTCCGATGTCAGCAGTGGCATCAGGCCTGTAACAAACTTGGTCATTCCTCTTCTTCCTCGCAATTATGGAACCGTTTTAAGCTCCTCACAGGTCAACGATGCTCTCCCTCCTATCCTATACTTGTTGATGGTGCTACACCTTCTATATCTTTGGACAAGGCCGACCATTTTGCTGCTTTTCATGAACAGAACTTTCAGGTGCCAGAACATCAAATTATTGACTACAGTGACACTACAAGCATCGTGAACTCAACCGTTGCCTCCCTCGTTGGCCTTACTCCTAGTTCTTCCCGTGTTGTTGACAATGATTTCTTACATGCTCTCATTACTGCAGCTGATATCCAACAGGTGCTGAAGAACAGACGTAACTCTGCCCTTGGTCCTGATGGCATCAGTTACTGCCAAATCTAGTATGCCTTATGCAATTCCTTCGACTTCTTGCACTGTTCTACACCTTTCTTCTTTCCTCAGGATTTTTCCTGCTTCCTGGAAATTATCTACTATTCTGCTTTTTCTGAAACCAGGTAAACCTATCTCTGATGTTAATTCTTATCATCCTATTAGCCTCACTAGTGTTTTCAGTAAAACCTTTGAATGCATCCTTGTTGCCCATCTTCATCAATTCATAGCTGCTCATAACATGCTTCCTCATACACAGGCGGGATTTTGCCCATGCTTTTCTACTTTGGATCAACTTTTCAAATTGTCTAACTCACTTTCCAATCATTTCAACACTCGAAGACCCTCCTGCATACTACTGTTTGATTTCCGGCATGCTTTTGACTCAGTTTGGCATCAAGGTTTACTCCACAAGCTGCATATGTTACACTTTCCTATTCCCTATATTTGTCTCATCTCTTTTCCCCACAGGCACCATGCTGCTATTTTGATTGATGGGTTTCTCTCTTGCACTTTCACACTACATGCTGGAGTCCCACAAGGTTCTGTGTTGTCTCTCCTTCAGTACATTCTCTATGTTGCTGACATGCCTTGTCCTCAACCTCCTCTTCAGTTGTTTCAATATGCTGATGACACAGCTTTGGTAGCCCATTGTTCCACGATGTCCACACGGAACAAGTTACTCCAGGTTGCTGAAATTCTTTTTTGTCTTGGTGTCGCTGTTGGCATCTATCCCTCAATGTACCTAAGACATGAGCTATTATTTTTGGTCCAACATGACGTAAGTTTCGCCCTTGCCTTGACCCGTCTCTGTTTGATGTCCGGGTCGACAATATCCTGAGCCCCCTTTCTGACTCCATGACCTATCTTGGCATTGTATTTGATAGGCATCTTACTTGAAAGCCATACATATCTGCCCTTTCTGCTAAGGTTACTCGATATCTTCATCTCCTCTGTTCTCTCACTGGTACCTTCTGGGGCCTGAACCCTCCTCTTCTGCTATACACATACAAGACATTTATCAGCCCCTGCTTAACCTATGGACATACAGCCTGGAAAAAGTAAGAAGCAAATAAGTAATAACTGTCAAAAATCACTCACCAAAACGAACTGCACTCGAGCAACAAGACGAACTGCAGAACGTTTTATCGAATCCGATCTCTCCTTGAAATATCAGACCAAACCAAGCCTTTATAGTAGTGAGGTTTATTTTTTGTGAGTGTAAAACACTTAAATACACCAGTTTGATTTTCGATACCTTACTACTATAAAGACTTGGTTTGATCTGATATTTCATTGATGGTGGTGTCCAGGGTCACTGATGAGGAGTGGAATTCTTCTAAACTAGTCTGGCTCACAGACCCCCCCCCCCTAATCGAAAGTATAGACCATTCCAAGCTTTTACTTGTTGTTAAACAAATGTTTAAGCAACTCTATTTGTTCAATTATGTACAAACTGCTCAGCGTCGGCTAACAATACGAAGAATTAAACTGTGGCGAAATGCCACAAGTTCTTCAAATACCTATAGAATGATAGGTTTCTTTTT